GAAAGCTCTTTGGGGGATATTTGCAACCCAAATCCAGGGCAAGCAAGGCAAAGCATCGATTCATTGTGTCTGGAGAAGAGGTAGCAACAGAGAAGGGACATCAAGAGCTGAGGGGACCAGCGGTTCCAAGGGAAATGTTCCTGGAATCTTAATGCTGTGATAAGACAGGGGCTCTGGACAGAGACATGATGATGATCCTGTCTCATAGCAACAGCTCAACATTATACATATTCAAAGATGGGGAAACTGAGCCACCAGGGAGTGGGACACCTTACTCAAGGTCCTATAGCCAACCAGTCACTCATCCAGGTGAGGTCTAGCCAACTACACTCTACCCTACACCACACTGGCTCCCACGCAATACTGTGCCCTCCACCAACTGCCCCCAGGCTTGCTGGGAGCAACTGTGAAACCTGCGGCGGCTCCTCCAAGAAACGCCAGTCATTTTTTAAGAACTGTCTCTTGCATCTGAGTTGGGGCCACAGCCAAGCCAGGGCTGAAACTGTCATCCTCTAGGTGACATTGGTCATCTATCCAGGAGCCAACAATCCAAGACTTCCCCCAGGCTCCTGTGTCCTGGTTGTCCTTACCCCTATACCAGAGCCCTCAGAATCACAGAAGGAAGGAAGTTAGGGAGAGAAGGCCTGAGGCACAGGAATGGTTAAATCTAAGCCGGAGACAGAGCAACCAAGCACACAAGACTGTCAGCACCCGTCAGGCAGAATGCCAGGCATAGACTATTGTAGGGACTGATTCTTGTCCCCCATCTTATCTCTACTGAGGGATGAGGTGGGGTCTGAGCTGCTGCATGCCTGGCTTCTGACTTTATAGCCTAGGAAGGACCTCCAGGGCAGCACTCCCACACCACAGACCCCAACCCAGGAAACCAGCCAGGCCAGGGGGCTGGGCCCAGCCAACTCTGCTGACAGCTCTGGCCCCAGACAACTCAGGGCCTCGTGGAATGTGCAGCCTCCAGCTCTCCCAGAGTCAACCCCCACCCACTCTTCCCAGCGTGAGGCCACGTCACCACACTGGCATCTCCCAAAGTTCTCCCAAGGGCCCAGCCTACAGGACAGGCACACTGTGGCCTCTGCCAAGGGTGTGCTCGGCTCTGAAATGTGCCTGCCTCCCTAAGCCCAGGCCAGCCGCCTCAGGTTTCACAACTAGTGCTCTCCTTGGGTGCCCCAAGCTGCAGGAATGGGGGTGGGGTGGGGGATTGAGAGAGCACTGAGTACCAGGTCTAGGGCAATGAGCTGACCAGGGACAGCATGACAGAGTTTAGAGGCAAACAGGCATGCGCAAGCTTCAGGGTCACCACACGTGAGAGCTCGACGCCAGGGCCCTGGAAAGAAGTTCAAGAAACAGCTGGGTTGAGACACACAGAAGGGTCCTGCTGTCTGCACATGAGCCAAGGCCAGAACTCAGTCCTAAGTCTGCCCAAAGGCTTCCCTTCACTTCCCCGTTCTCTGCAACCCCAGGGTTCAAAGCTTAGATATGAGGCTTGAAACATTACCCCCAGGATGTCCACAACTTATTCCCAAGAATCCCCCACCATTCCCTTCTAAGGCTAAAGCAATTGCACAGGAGATTAGATTGAGCACCTGGAGATGGGGAGGCAGGCTGTCCAAGATTATTTTAGAAGGCCCTAAAAGTCATCAAAAAAAAAATGCCTTCATAAGGGGGAGGGAGAGGGAGACCTGGCTTCAGCAGAAGAGGAGGAAGCAATATGATCACAGAGATCGGCACCATGCAGCCACAAGCCGAGGGAGGGAGGCAGCCACCAGGCTGTTGCCGGGAGAGGCCAGGGGAAAGCTCTCACAGACCCACCTTCTAATTCCTGACCCCCAGAGCTCTGGAAAGCTACACTAAGCTGTTTGAAGCCACTGAATCTGTTGTGCTATTGCGAGCAATGTGAACGTCTGTAGGCAGAATGGCCCCTCATCCGGTTGTCTGTAAGTCTGCACCCCTTCTTCACTGTACCTCTCCCAGGTTTCTCAAATCTTCCATGCTCCCTGTTACCCAGACCTCATTTAAGATCACATCCACATGTAACCGAGTCCTGGTGGCCTGCCTGCCAGGGAGTCCTCACACCTTCCTTCCTATCTAGAGGCGGATCTAGACAGCCTCTGCTCGCTTACCCTCTTCCTCTCTGCCCCACCCCCATGGCATCCCTACCTTCAACTTCCAGCACACTGCAGCCTGAGCAGGACTGCCAAAGTGCAGGATGCTTTGTCAGATCCCAAGAGACCTCTTATGGCTGCCCACTGCATGCAGGACACTGTTCAGATCCTGGGTCGGCTGTAGCTACATCCCCCTACTAAGCCCCTGGACATAAGCTCTGCCCCACCCCATCCCCCACTTCACCCTGCATGGCTCCCTGCACCCTGGAAAACTCCTATCTGAGCTCAAGGAGGGGTAAGTCTGGTCAGAAGGGGTTGGCTTCCCAGTCCAAGGGAAGGGCTGGCTATGGGCTAGTAGGTGGAGACTTTTTCGGGCCACAATCAGCCACGTGGAGGAGCCACTTGGTGCCTACACTTCCATCCTCTTTCTGCAGGCTTGGCAAAGCAGCTCCCGTGGTGTGGAGCCTCCTCTGGCCGTCAGGGAGGACACCCAAGCCTGACAGCAGCGGGCAGAGGCTTGGCACCCGCTGCTTCTGAAGAGGAGGCGGCAGCCAAGGTCACTGGCACAGAACTGTCTGACTTCTTTCAGCCCTGGGGCAATGTGTACAGCTGGCCTTGAGGGCACAGCAACCCAGAAGCAGGTCCCCAGGGCAGGAACCACCTGCCTCATTTCCATTCCAAGGTAGAGCCAGGCGGACCCCAGGGAAGCAGCCCAATGGGAAGGACAGAAACTACTTCAAGTCTCTGCATCTCGGAAGCCTTGGCCAATGGGAGGGGCCTATTTTATTTGGTCCATACGGTGCTTTTCTGAAATTTGAAGCCACATTTTAAAACACTGGAGAGTTCTCATAAAAATCATTGTCTGAATTCTCTTGATGCTAAAATATTCAGGCTGCCCTGGATCCACGAGGCAACCTAAGAAAGCAAGGTCAAGAGAAGGGAGGGATCGTGCAGGAGGCCTGAGTCGAATCCACACTACTGGAAGGGAGGTGGGGATGAAAGCCAGGCCAGGAGTAGATTTTGTTGTTATTGTTTGCTGCTGTCTTCATTAAAGACCTCTGAATTTGCAGCTTTTGTCTTAATGGTGGGATGCTGTGGATAGAAGGGAGGCGATCAAATATCTAGACTATGACACAGGGATCTTCTTTGAATCCCAGGTTCAGTGGAGACACTGCCTTTGATGGCGACAGTGAGGAGGCTGCTCAGTGCATGTAGCCTCATCTGTCTGGCCTTCCCACATCTGGGGAGATGGCTGGCTCAGACTGGATCCAGTCACTCCTGTGCAGGGTGTTCCGTCGGACTGCCATGCACCGCAGCGCCCGCTTGGTTTCACCTTCTGGGACCTGTCACTAGGACCTTCCATGACAGAACAGTGCTTATCAGATGGGATTAGATTAGGATGTTGAGAGGGAGACATGCCCCAGAGGAAAGCTAAATGGAACCCACCTTCCAAGATGGAGGCATAGGGATGTCGGACACAGGCAGAGGAAGAGAAGTGACATGCAGGCAGCCTCTGGAGTGACGTGACCTCAAGCCAAGGGAAGCCAGCAGCCCAGAGCCCGAAGACACGGTGACCACCTTCCCTCCTAGCATCTCAGAGGCAGTATGGCCCTGTTCACATATCCATTTTAGCTCGGTGACAGTGATCTCTGGCTTTTGGTCCCCGAATTATGACATAACACATGTCTATCCAGCTAGTGTTCCACAGCTGTCTTATGCTTAAGGGCAAGATACGTGCCAAGATCACCCAGTTCCGAGTGCAGAGCGGGTCTTCTGGTCCGGCCAGGGCTTCCGCTAACGCACTTTAGTGCTGGCTTCTTCTTCAAGAACCCCAGACAAACACGAAAGATGGGAGCAAAAACAAGGTCTGAGGATGGACCCAGAAGTCACGCTTTTGTTGATACTTGAGTTTCCCCTCTTCTGGCATCTTGACTCCCTGCCCCCCTCGATACTTTTTGGAATATCTTGAACCCATATCCTGTGGTTGCCTTGGGGAGGAGCCAGAACAGTCTGATCTCTCACTGGGAGAGTTTGGGCTTGCAGCCCAGGACTGAGGCCTACAATTCAGCTTTGGACAGTTTGATCTCCTCCAGTGACCAGTCCCTATCCACCCTATCTTCCAGCCCAACCTCACCCTAGCCCGGGCACTTGGCCTCAGTCAGGTTCTTACCAGGTCTCTTGCTTTGGGTTCCATGTGTCACTTCTTGTGACATCTTACCTCAGCATGCAATCCGGCCACTGCCCATTGAGCACTCTCCAGAGACATAACCAATAGGATCACCTGGCCTTGGACTCAGGTATTTGATTATAACAACCAAACGTAAAATGGGCCAGTAAAACCCCTGGTCCCCGTGTCTACTGTGAGCTACTATAACAAAACACGTGAGGGAGGTATTGAGGTTTGTTTGGCTTGGGATGTTCACTGGCATTGTGCTAGTGTCCTCATGCACAGCCCCTTGGTTGAGTCACAACACAGTGGAGGGGGGAGCTATGTGGAGGAGATCAAGCAAGTATAGTGAGCTCAGTTTATAAAAATCTGCACTTAGAAAAATGAATTCACTCCTGTGAGCCCTAACCAACTCCATGAGTCTGCTGATGAGGGCAGAGCCCCACAAGCTAGCCCCACCTCCTAAGAGTTCTGCCTCCTCAGCCTAGCCTCCCAGGGATCAAGCTCTGAGGACAGCCCATACCTTCTCCTACACACACACACACACACACACACACACACACACACACCGAAGCAAAGACTTTGCCCCGGGTCCCTTAAGATATGCTGGCCTGCTGTACACAGCCATGGGACACAGATTTTATAAGTTCCAATTGCCATTCTGTGCCTTGTCAGGGCCCATGCTGATGGAAGGCTGAACTGTCTGAGGTCACCATGGGCCCTTGGCCCAGCTCCGACATAAACTGTCTGGACCCCCTCCAGCCAGTGAGTCCATCTTTAGCCATGGGCCATTTGGGAACCATCAGACGCATTCAGGGGCTGCAAGGTCTCATCATGTTGACACTGAATAGGAAGGCTCAGAAAGGGGGTTTAGCCCCCAGAGCATAGGCCTGTGGTCTGAAGCTACAGCCCAGGACTCTCACACAGGGTGAGCTCCCGGCTGGAGCGCCTGGACTTGCTCCAAGACTGTGGCCTTGTGTTTAGCCTTGGACAGATTCATCTCCTCGATTGATGACTGATGTCCTGGTCCTACCCACCCACCTTCCAGCTCGGCTTCATCCTGACCTGGGCAGTTGATCTCACCCAGCACCGTCTATCTGAGGTCAGTGGTTTCTGGGTTGATTCTGAAATTCCTCTCCCCGCATTGTCAGTTCCAAGTTCTCATTAGGGATGTGTGTATGGGCTCGGGAGGCAAAGGCACTGCTCAACAGAAGACGCCAAAACGCTAAGCACAGTCCAGAAAACAAAACCAAGCCAGCTAGACCATTGGGGGAAGGGCCCCAGGGCAGGAAGATAAGCCCAATATGGAATCTGGGATTGGAGACACAGCTGAGAGCACCCAGCCAGCTCCACGGAGCAGGCTCCACCTCACCCAGCCTGAGCAAAGGGGTGGGGAGAAAGAGGCCACAACCACCCAGACTCTTCCAGTAGAGGCCAGCCTTACTGGAAGAAATATCAAGGACGAAGTGGCCAGGCCCCGAGCTCTCTTAGAGACAGACAGACCCCTCTCAGCTGTTATAAGGGAACAAAAGCTATGTCCAAAGGCAGGAGAGTAAGGCCAGGAGGAGGCCTCCCTCCATGTCCGGGGCACTTCCTCTGTCCATTTTCCCTCCAGCCTTCCAGGGTTACTCTCACTCAGGAAAGCCCAAGGGCAGGAGTGAGGCTAAGGTTTGGGTTAAGCTGAGCAGGAAGCCCCCAGAACCCAGCTGTTGACAGGTAGAAGGCTATTCATTACCAGGGAAGTAGGGGCAGCTAGAAATATTATCTCCAGGGAATGCCGGTGTGCCGACGAGCAATTCCTTTACTGAGGTCCTTGACATAGTGTCTTAAAATTAGAACGGTACCCTGCTAGGCTGTGCCCAATTGATCTGTCAAACCAGATTGTCAGCGGGAGCTAAAATAAATGGGCTGGGGTTCGCTTAGAGAAGAGGGGCGATTTCAATAAATCACAGCACAGGGAGGGGCTCGCCAGTCAGGGGCCTCGACTAACTAGATACCTGCAGATGTGTCTGATCCAAAATTCTGGGTCCCCTGCCCATGGCTGTCCCCCCTCCTCCATGGCTTTATTCAAGGAGGCCTCGTCTACACCCTGGGGCCCTGGGACCTGCAAGAGCACTATAGATCCTGACCCAGGCCTCTGCACGATCGGGTACTCCAAATCCAGAGACCTCTGGGGTGGGTCAAGCCGTCTTGGTGAGACCTGTGAGGCTACAGCCAGGTGGCCAGTCAATCACTCAGGGCACTCCGTAGTTCCTCCCATATCCCTGGACCCAAAGCACCTGTGATTCTAAGTTGAAAATGGTAAGACCCTATGAGTGCACGTGGAAGACACCGAGGCTGTTGGAGCTGCTCTGGAGTCTTTTCGAGGTGTGTCCTGGGGTGGGGAGTGTAGAGAAAGAATACTTGGGGCCTTCTCTTCCCAGTGAGCATGGAAACTCTGGGAAAAAGCAGGCACCATCCCAGAGATCACAGCAGTACAAGAGCAGGAGACAGGGGCTGCCTGGAGGACTCAAGAGGCTGTCTGCATTGACACAACTCTCTCCTGTTCCCTAAGCATTCACAGAAGATAGACCACTAGACAGTCTTCTGTGAGGCCCTAGACCTGTAAGCAGTGGGGACCATCACTATTGGTTACCCATATGTACCCTCTGCCTCAACACCCCAGCGCCCCGCATGCCATGCATCCAGGCAGGCAGGCAGCTGACTTCTTCCTGAGCCAGTGTGGCTGGGGCTCAGCTCCAGCCTCCAACCAGGCCTGCAGAAGTGGACCTGAGTTTGTTTCCCCGGAAACCAGGAACAGTCAGGAGACATTCAATGCTCCCCACCCAACCTGTCCATCCACAGCAGCCTTACCTGTGTCCAGAACCTGTGGCCCCGCCAGAGGAGGGGATTTGGGAGTGGGCGGTCTGCGATATACCACGTGCACTCGGCCTTGTTCAGCCTCCCGATCCGCCTGACCCTTCTCCAGGGGCTCAATAAAGAACTCCTCCTCCTCCATACGGATCAGACCAGCCTGCAGAGGCAAAGTGGAGAAGTTCAGACTCCCAGGGCACAGACAGAGGAGGGAGAGCAGCAAGGAGGGTCCCTAAGGGTAGTGCCCTCCCTCTGGAATGTCTTAGCATCCGAAAGTGTAGCTGTAAGACTGTATGTGGGCCTTTGAGGACACAAGGGTGCATCAAATATGAGCCACCTCCAGGAACAGAGTCATTCCAAGACACAGGCCAAAACCAATAACCAAGAACTGCATCTACCTACAGACACACTGGTTCGCCCAGACAATGCTTTCTTAAGAGAGGGGGGTAGGGGAGTCTCAAACCAACTAATTAACTTAGCTTCACCTTGAACGTCTAACCCCTGCCTCCACTTCTTGCATGCTGAAACTCGAGATGATGCTGCTATGCCTTTTGACTCTGGAGAGACAAACTCAAGTCTTTACACGAGCGAGGCAAGTTCTCTGCCAACTGAGCGTGCATGCCACAGCACAGATGTGGGGGTCAGAGGACAACCCGCAATGCCTTCCCAACTTGTTTAAACCGGGACTCTCTGTGGTCTTTCCACTAAGTATGTCAAGCTAGCTGGCCTGTGAACTTTCGGGGGTTTTCTTGTCTCCCCACCCTCCTGCTCCCCTCCCCCACCTTCCCATAGGGGGCTTGGGTTATAGACGCTCACATCATCACACCCAGCTGTTCCGTACATCCTGGGATTTAAACCCAAGCTCTCGTGCTTTGCACGGTGAGTGCTTTCCCTTGCTGAGTCTCCTCCAAAGCCCCAGACCATACTTTTTAACACTGTGAAACCAACCACTAAAATGATGAGATTTCACCTTTTAAAACAAAATCCCAGGAACGAAAGACATAACCCCGTGGTTAAGCACACCTGCTGCTCTTGCAGAATTCCACGTTCTGTTTCCAGAACTCATGTCAGACTTCTCACAGCATCCAGGAACTCCAGCCCCAGGAGATCCCATGCCTTCTTCCAGCCTCCAAGTACAACCGCATTTACACAGACACTTGCGTACACATAACTAAAAATCCATCTTAAAATAAAACGTAACTCTTAAAGAAAGGGAAATTGAGACTTTCCTTGGAAAACAAAGTTTTGACAAAATTAAGCTGCACACTTCCTGGCATGGACACCTCAGACAGACATACACCCCTGTGCCCAGCCACCATTCTCTGCCTCCTCCCCTCCCTCTGCCCACCCTTGCCCTAAGACCAGGCTCTATAACAAGTGTTGCCTGCATGGGGCTTCCTGCTGGAACCTTCTGTCTGCATTCAGGTTGCGGTGTTCTACGTCACTCAAGGCTCTCAGCCTGCACCTGTTTGAACCTCCCACTGGTCACTGGGTTGTGTGTGAACATAGCTGAGACACCGACCCCAAACTTGCCATACACTAGTGTGGGAATTCCTGCTGCCATCTCTCACCTGGGCCACCTGCTAATAAACCCCTATTCTCTCTTTCACATCAGGCTCAGAGACTCCCAAAGAGCCTTTCTCTGATGCAGTCTCCTGGTGGCACCCAGCTCACCTGCCCCTCATCCACCCCAGTTCCCACACTATGCTTCTTCGGTCTGCCAACCGTAAGTCATAAGTCTCCTATTGTGTCTAGCCTGGGGATGTAATTCCTGCACATCATACAATTACGACCAACGGGGAATTTGTACAGCTTCTTCTGGTTGTTCAGATTTAAGATGTAGGAGAGTTCACACCAATGACAGAGCCTCGGGTTCTCTCAGACAATCAGAAGACCTGGTGTTTCTGTTGCTTGAACTTAGCTGGTACTGGCTAGGGTTCCCTGTCCGGTCCCTGGCATCACCCATCCAGATGTTGAGAAACTATTCAACCCCCCCCCCATAGCCCAAATGGCATCTGTCACATCATCAACCTGACCAAGAGGGACAGAGTAGCTGTATAGGCCACCGTACTTTTCCCTGATCTCAAGGTACCCTGGGGTTCCTATACTATATATTGCTAGCTGGGAGCTTAGAAGACTGAGTGCAGTTGGCACTCTGATAGGGCCTGCTAAGCATTTGCAATCAGCGCGAGTCTAGTGGAGGATGCTAGATGCATCCATACACCTGTTGCCTTTACCTGGGGAAAGCCCAGGTGCCAGAGAGCAATGCACAATGGAAAGAGTAGCTCCAGTCACAGGCAAGGGCTGGTGGGAGACCAGCTACACAAGGAAGCATCAGGCCCAGACTCAAGAAACAGGGATGATGTCTAACCAAAACCTGCGCCAACCCTTCCTGTCAACCAGAAGTTAGAGAGGGTGACCCCGTATAGGTGAGGGACAGAGCACATAGAAAGGCCCAGAGAAGGGCTACCGTCAATGGAACAAGCTGACTGGGTGGCTGGGAGACTGGGGATAAAGCTCATAGCATGTAATACAGGAGCAGATCTCTGTAGGAAGGGTAGTCAGCAGCCTGGAAGGCTCTGGGCAAGGAAGACATCACGTGACTCACAGCTGCTGTAGACAGGGGGGACTGGAAGAATGTAAATGAATCTGGAGAGCTGAGAGCAAGCTTCATGTACCTGGGAGGCAGATAGCAGTGCCTGGATGAGGCATATAGACTCCAGGAATATGAGGAAGTCAAGTCTGGAACAATCTGAGGACAGATCTAATTCTGCTAAGTACTTCCAGGTCTGGAACTGACTGAAGAGAGCTCCTACCCCAATCTATCCAGGTCTCAGTCACAGGTGCAAATGTGGTGGGAAGGGGGCTCTGCAGGAGGGACTCAGCTGATGTTCTGCATTTCGGAAGGTTCCCATGACCATCAATGTGGCCCTACGTATAACCACATTCCTTCCTGTATGTAGGAAGAGGCTGAAGAAGAGCAGACATAGAAGATGAGATGGGGATGTGGTTCTGGAGACAGAGGTCAACATGTTGCAGCCACAAGGACCATCAGCAACCACGCACAACTGGAAGAGGGAGAACTCAGCCCTGCGGACACCTGGAGCTCAAGCAGGCTCCACTGACTGTAGACTTCAGCCAGAACTGCGCGAGAATGAATTTTGATCTTTGCGACTCATTTGTTACATCAGCAGCATCAAGAAAGCCATGCTGGGACCAACGGTTGGCCTGGTAAAGAGGAGCCATTCTAAGAGGCATAGAAGAGGAAAAGCAGAGGACCTTCCAGGATCTGCTGTGTACGTGGCAGGGAAGAAAGCCACGGAAGTGGAAGGAAGATCATGGACTATGAGGAATGAGGGTTTGGTGGGAACCCTTCAGGCCCCCACACTTATGACTCATCCCTGGTTCCCAGGGCACTACTAGACCTGGTAGGGACGAAGCAAATGCTTACAGGCTGAGTGAACACTTGACCCCCAAGCCTCAGGACATGTCCTCTGAGAGCTGCGTGATGGCAAAGACGAGAAGGGCCGTCCCCACCCACTGGTGTGTGCTGAGAATGTTTACAACAGCAAGAGTTACTTCCATGGATGGTTCCCATGTATGTGGTTTTAGAGGAGACAGACGTCTCAAATCCGTCTTTATTAATAGACGCCTTTGAATGAGCATGGGAATTAACCCCTCTGTGGGGTTAACAGAGGACAAGCTAACCTGGGAGTCTGATTTACTGGATTTCTGGCACCCTTTTTCTGGAGGGGTGACTTCAGAAAGGATGCCAACATTCTCTGAGTCTCCAGTCCCTTAGCTGTAAGTGGGGTGAGCCTGTCACCCCTCCTCTACCACAACTGCTACAGAAGCACATGAGGCCTGGGGCATCTTAGAACTAGAGCACACATTGTTGGTGGGCCTCGAGTCAAGATATCCATGTATTCTGCTTGCTTTCCAGTGAGGAGACTGAGGCTCAGAGGATGAAGAGGCTTTCCAGGGATACCCAGAGTCTAGGAATCAGAGCTACATGAAGGGCATAGAAACTGGAGGCCTAGGGAGCAGTGGCGTCTGGCCTAAGGTCACTCACTCAGATAGAAAGGGTTCTGGGGACTCAGAGTTAAATCTGAGCTAAGTATAAGGTGTGAAGTCAGTTTACTCAGGTTTTCTTACAGGACCAGAGCCCTCAGCTTGACAGGATTCTCAGAGTTGTCTGATGTGTTCCATGACAACCAGCACCCTATAAATCATCTCTGTTGGGTGCCATGAAATGCACACTTGCTCCCCAAAACCAGGGGCTGACCAGTGGGAGACCATCATCTCCAGGATCACCGGCAAGATAAGTGGCTACCCACCTCCAAAGCCAATGAATGACCATTTCCTAAGTCAGTGGATGACTGTCTCTAAGACCAATGTGGGAATACAGTGGGAAAGCATCTCCAAGACCAGTGCATGGCCATTCCCACACCAATGCATGAGCCCACCTGACAACAAAAGATTGCCATTCCCAAGACCAATGGATGACCACCCAAGATCAATGACAATCTCTAAGGAGAGATGACCACCTGGAGACCAGCGGTTGATGGTGATAATTGGTCTTGTCAACTTTATGGGACTTAGAATCACCATGGAAATGAATCCTTATGCTGGTCTGTGAGGGATCTTCTAGATTAGGTTTAACTAAGACAGGAAGACCCCCTCAAATGGGTGCCACCATGCCACACACTGGAGTCCTGGTCTGAGGAAAAAGGAACAAGAGCTGAGTGCACCCATCACCCTCCATGTCTTCACTGGGGACACAAGGGGACCAGCAGCCTCAAGCTCCTTCTGCCATGGCGCCTCTGCAATGGTGGACTGCACGGGGAGCCCTGTCTGTCCATAAGATGATTGTGTCACGTCTCATGTCACAACCACCAGGCAAGCAACTAACTCACTGACCATCCCTGGACCTGAAGGTCCGCTGCCGCCATGACCAGGTTGATCATCCCCAAGCTCACGGGTGACCAGCCTGAGGCTAGTCTCTGATCACCCTGAGGTCATCAACAGGCCTTCCTCCAAGACCACTGACCCGAATAATGCCACACAAGGGGCTCACCCCAAAGAAAGCAGTGCTCATTAACAGAATGCTGGAGGATCAACAGTTTAGTATGCATCCCAGAACCAGCTGTCTAGAACCCAGCAGAGGAAAATTGACAAGGGAACAAGGCACACACTATGAGCTAATTTTTTGCTGGGTTTTTTCCAGGACTTTGATTTCCTGCTGCCAGTGGCAAGTGTATCTGTTTTTACATGTAATTTTTATTAATAAAAATCAGTTCCCTCTCCTAACTCAATAAATATTAAAAAGATCTCTCAAACACACCAGTCTGAAGAGTACCCTGTCGAGTGTCTGCTGGTGGTCTGTGTCCCTACCCCATGCCTGTCCAGCCTGGAGAACACCCTGTCAGGAGTCTGCTGGTGGCCTGTGTCCTACCCCACACCCGTCCAGTCTGGTGTCTTGCAGAAGGCCTGGTATTCTGGCCCCAACTCTCATTCAGCAAGGCTGTGATTGTTTGTCAAAACCAAACAGGCTTTCTACTGTGGGACAGACGGAAGCTCCCATAGAGGACTCAGTCCCATGCCTCGGTATCTCTGCAAGGGCCCAGAGCCCAGCCATACTTTGGACACCAAGTCAAGTTGCCAGTGTTCAAATCTCAGCAAATTATACAGTGAGAATTAACCTCTTCTTCCTCTATGTTCAGCTCCTTTGCTATTTGGCTGATGGTGAAACAGCCACTGGAAATGGAAATTAAAAGTTAAACATGTATTACAATCCAAAGCTACCCTCTGCTACTTTTAATTTTTAAGGCATTTAGCACTCTGATGTGTTCAAAGCTGGGGTGCCGTACGAAATGCAAGTGGGCATCGTACTCTCATTGGTAAAGCTGGCTGCTTGCCCTCAGCGCCTCCTCACATGGGAGCCAGAAGCTGCAGGCACTTCCTGTGCATGCATAATTCCAACCAGGTCTGTGGCTTTAACTCATCAACTCTGCAACCTCCAGCTCAAGAACTGTCATGTGTTTATCCGAGTTGTGCTGGTGACAATCAGGAGAGAACAGGGACTGGGATATTGTTGAGTAGGTAAGAGTGTTCGCTCTGCAAGCATGAAGTCCTGAGTTCGAACCCCCACATCACACAAAAAAGCCAGTATCAACCGTATGTGCCTGCAATTCCAGGATCGAGGAGGAGGGCACAGGTGGGTCCTGAGAGCTCATTTGCTGACCCAGGTAGGCAAAACCCTGTCTCAGAGCAATGATGTGGAGAGGGACAAATGAAGACACTGAAGGTCCTGCTCTAGCCTTCACCTGCATGCACACAGCTATGCACACTGATACACTGCACCTGCCTCTCACACACTCTCCCACAGACACGGGGGAAGGGGGATAAGAAGAATGGTAAAGAAAGGCTGATCCAAACCTAGAGGGAACCTGACTTGGATGAAAGACATGGCAGTATGTCAACATCAGCTCCCTGCCATTCCCAAACTTTCCTTGCACACACACACACACACACACACACACACACACACACACACACACACTTTGGGCTTGCCACCAGAATCCTCTGACATGAATGCTTCTGCAAGGTTGCTGTCCATAGAACTGTTAGCTCCCAGGAGATCCATCCAGCCATCCCAGTTGGACCATCCAGCCATCACCACCCAACAAGCCCAGTCTCTTGCTGACCTGAGAGGGAACATAGATCGGACCTGCTACTCCTGGGGCACCTCTTGACAAAGCCTGCTCAGCCATGACACCGCTGGCCCTCTCAGAGGCTGAAGTCAGAGCTGAACAAGCCTTGGAACCTTATGGGAAAGGAGCCGGACTTCCTTGATCACAGAGCTGTGCAATAGCTGTGACCAAAACACCTGAGAAAGCACCTTAGCTAGAGAAAAGACCATGGGTCTAGAAGGGTCAGTGCACTCTGTTTGTCCCTATGTGCTTAGGGACAACATGGTTGCAGGAGTGTGAATCAGAGGAGCTCCCTCATTCCAGAGCGGACAGGAAGTCAAGAGTAAGGAAGACACCAAGGACCAGGTATAGCCTCCAAAGGAGTACTCCCAGGGAATCCCCACTTAGTTTCCAGAACCTTCCAAAATAGCACCACTGGCTGAGGACCAAGTGTTGAACGTGTGAGCTTCTGAGGAACGCTTCCTGTTCAAATCACAGCAGGCTGCGTCTGATTGGAGCCACTCCCTCGAGACCAGCGAGGATGCTGTCTAGCTCCGCATCTTGGGCAGTGGTTTTGCATATTGATCTCCCATTTTCTAAAAGGGTGAGAGGTGTGGGTAGAAGGGGTGGACCAGGGTGGGCCAGCACTGTGTGGAAGTGTGGGAGGGGTGGGCAAGCGCAATCCACTGAGAAGACACTTATCTCCTCCCCCCCCCACACCTCTATCAGCTCCCGCTTTGTGCCTTGTGGAGCAGCCCCTTCTGGAGAGGAGAGCATCCTTGTACTGGGGCCCATGTTTCCCCAGCTCTCTTAGCATTTCAAAATATGTATTTGTTGTTGTTTGTTTGTTGCTGTGGTTTGTTTGGGGAGTGTGTGTGTGTGTGTGTGTGTGTGTGTGTGTGCCACTATACACCCGTACAAAGTCAGAGGGCAACTTTGTGGAGTGAGTTCAAGGGGTTAAAAGGCTTGACCATTACTGGCTGAGCCACTTCGCTAGCCTACTCTGATCATGTGGGGTAGACAGGTATGGTCCTTGTCGAGTGTCAGCCACTCTCCTTCTTCCCATAGAGCAATTCCTGTTCATGTCTCTCTCTTCCCAGGAAGTGAGGAGCTATGGCTGGACCTGAGCCTTCCACCCTTAACTGGGATGGAGTGACCTGGACAGACTGTCTGAGCTCCACAGAGCCCTGAAGACTTGGCCTGTGGGGCCTCGTTCTCCCTCTGGACCTAACTTCACATCTTTTGGGACTTTTCTCTTGATCTAAACTTGCCCAATCAGTTTCTGAGGCTCAGATGAAGATGCTGCAAAAGTCAAATGCCCCCAGCGCTTCATCTAGTGCTCGATTGGATGTACTCTGGGTTACACTTTGAAGGGCCAGGTGGAGGGAGTGGCAGGCAGGGAGAACCGGACATAGAGCCAAGTGACTGGCTTCAAACACCTTTAATGGGTCTACCCTTTCTTCTTCTGCAAATTGAGGGGTCAGGCCATTGACCTCTGACCTCGGTGCCTCTTATCTCTCTGTAAGCCTGACAGGCCAAGCACAGCTCTGGGGCTGGGGGGCGGGGGTGAGCAGGACACCAGCAAACTGAAAACCAGAAACAACTTTCCTCGCTGCCTGCAAGATAAAGACTAAGTTCATCCCGTAGTGCATGAGGCCTCCTAAAGGAACCACAGCAGCCACCCCTCTGCCCCTGAGAAGGTTCTCACACATCTGTCCACCCCTACACTTGACCTTCTTTTGTACCTCAACACTAGTGGCCCTGCTCTCCATTCGCTGGGCACTTGGTATCATTGGAAGGACCCCTGTGAGCCAGACATGGTGACAGAAATTCAAACTCCACTAAAATCCCACAGGCAGGCATAATGCCTCATACATGGAGGCCTCTCGGGCTCGAAGACATTAAGCCACTAATTCAAATTTCTCTGCATGGAAGAGGCAAGCTAAAGAGACATCCCTGCTTCTCCTACCCAGAGGAGAACCAGTGTAGATGGGCATAGAGGACATCAAAATGGAGGACATTCAATGCCATCAAGGTGTGTGCCTTACCCAACTTTATTAAATTCCAGCCAAATACCTTTATATGCTAAGACTTCGAGTCTGAATCATGATCTTCACTTGCTATAAAAAAAAAGACTGGAATGACTGGGGAGGGAGGTGGCTCGGTAGGTAAAAGTGTTGCTATG